AGAAGGTTTTTATTAAGGTTTATTATGAAACCGTTCTTTGAACTTTATCCGTAAAACCGAGATTTTTAATTAGTATCTGCTAAATCGAGATTCACTGTGTATTACTAAATATGGGACCATCAATAAACCGGTAACGCAAATAAAACAAGTTGGGCAAATTACACAAAGATTGTCCCACTTTGGAATGTTTATTATTATGAAAATATTAACGCGAAGGCTTTTTTGTGTATTGATTTGGGACACATAATAAAAAAAATGTTTCGTTCAACAGAATCTTTGCATGCCTATAAAGTTAAGCTTCAATCCTCCTTCATTTCTTGAATAATTTATTCATAGATTGTTATTTATCAATCGTCCACTTATTTAATGATGTTTTTCACAACCAAAATTATTCGGCCTGGGTTTTCTAGGAAACCTTTTATCTTCTATTTATTTTATCTTTTATTTGGTCTCATCTCTACAGCAACAGGAGCAATGGCTGTCAGGATGTTTGACTTTCCGTATTATGACCCAGTGAATGGATTGAAATGTAATGTTGCTGAATACAAGGAACAAAAAGTATTTGGCACCTTTGGTTCTCAATTAGGGACGTTTATACCTATTGGATTCCTTATTTTTACTGTAGCAGTTTACGGTACAAAATCTGTGTTTGGCTATATGAAAACCTGCCTTATTGATGATGCTGTTATTCTCACGTCTTCTTTGGTGCCCATTCTTTCATGGTACATTTTCGGTAAACCACTCTGGTATATGCTAATTAAGAAGGATACAGATGATGTCAATAAGTTAAAGAATGATTTGGGAAAAATTTATGGAAATAATACAGGTGTAATAATCGACGATCCTGAAGTTTTTGACAGGATTGATAATATTAATGAATACTTTGGTGAGGAGGTGGTTAAGATTTTAATAATTACAGTATTGAGTTTTGTAGCAATTGCGCTTCTGTTGTTGATTATTAGACGTGTTTTTTACAAGCGTCGGAATAAACCGGGTGATATAATCTTCTGGAAGATGACTAACAAAAATTTGTTTGATTGTTTAAAAACAGTCATTATTTGGATTTATTTAATTCACTCTATTGCACTCTTGTTTTATACTTATTCGGAAGCTAAATACTTTTCTGAAGAAATTGATATAAATTATAAGCTTTATATAAATGAAAATGCAAATGGAACTGAGCTTTATTATGCTTATTCTGATGATGGTGATTCCAAGATAGGGTTTTTATTTAATTTAGAATTCATACACTTTTTAGTAAATCTTCTTTATCTCATCACAGCCATTGTTTTAGTTTTTCATTATCATTTTCCAGGATCGGATCGAAAACATGGATTTTTAAAGCGTTTTATTCATAAAAAGTTTTTCTTTTTTCTGGTTCTCTTTTCCTTGATCGAATTGTTTTTTGAATATTCTTATTTTTGCACCAGTCCTATTATTAGCACAGTTTTCAATTCTTTACTTGTCACCATTTTGACTCGTTCAATTTCATCATTCTTTTCTAGCCAGGGAATAATCAAAATCGAAGATATTGATAAACATTATTATAGAGATTATCAACATGCAGTTTTTGCAAAAATGGACGCTGAAAATATTCAAAATCTCAACCATTTTTATAAGAGTGATTTCCAAGACAAAGATGACACTTTGAAGGGGAGAGAGTTGAAAAGGTATAAAGTCGATTCTGTAGACGGATATGTTTATGTTACGGAGGAACCTGATCTCGAGAAATCTGATTCCAAGGAACCACCTGTATACTATTATGTTTTGACTAATAATAAATCTGTATATTTTCGTGTGCTTGAACTTGTATCGAAAGATGATGACAATGGCAGTGGGTGTTGTTGGTGTTGGAAATCATTATTTAAAAACAAGGAGGAAGAACGCATTAAAAGGCAAATCAAGAAAGCGATACGTAAACTTAAAAAGGAAGGCTGGAAGACGGGAGTTGACAAGAAGGAAGAGAAGAAAGTCAAAAGTTGTGTGAAACATTATTGTGAAGGAGTCAAACAACAAGAAGATAAATTTATTCTAAATGTAGATCTGGAACTAAAAAAAAGGGAAATGAATAAGCTTATTACAGATGTCCTAAAAGAAAATAACATTCCTGTAAAAGAGGAAAAAGATGATGATGGCAGAATTAACAAAAAGAAAGATTGGAGAATCGAAGGTTACGTGCTGGTCAATGTGCTTCAAACAGGATTTCTTAATTATATTGTTTACTCTCATCGTGTTTCTAAAAAAAATAACCCTATTCCTAAGGTTGACGACAAACCTACTGCTGAAGAAGATATTGAAGAAGATAAAGATGATATAGTTTAAAATTTAGTAAATGTTCAATCAATAATATCTGTACTGTATTGATAATTTTTTATCTTAATGTAACAATTTAAATGATTAAATTATTTTCATTTATATTTTATCAATCTGTGTAATATATATAATGAACATTTTATGAAATAATAAAATAATAATTATCTCCGCACACAAAATAAAAGTATTTGTTCGTAAAAGTATTTTAAATTCATTTTTAAAAAAGTATTTCTTACACTTAACAAAAAATAAAAACGACTGTATATTATTAATATATTAATATTAAATGGTGTTAGTCGCCAAAACTATTTTAAGAGACGAAAGTCAAAGTCAAAAGTCAAAGGTAATGATAGTTTTGGTATTTAGCATTCTAGTTGAATGATACAATCAATGATACAACTGCTGAGATAATAAAATATTAATGCATTATTCATGATAAATTATCAAATGGTAAAGAAAAGAATGTGTGATTATGCATTATAACTGATGGAAGTAATAAAATATAAATGTAGTCCACAAGTGAGAATGCTCTCTTCCTTCTTAATCATAAAAAATGAACAATAGAGATAGTTCTTTTACAAATAACCATTTTGCTAGTGACAATAATAATGTTAACCCTTCACACAATATGAACCATATTAAAATCAATATGCAGTATATAATAAAATTTACTAATAACGGATTGTAACAAAAAATTGGTGTTGGTCTTATATCATCTTGTTTAAAAGGAACACTATAATTGATCTCGTTTTGTTTATAACGAACATTTTAATAGACAACTAATTTATATTGGAAAGAGAAAAAGAGAATGAATTATGAATTTTCTGGTAATTTGCTTCAATGACATTATAAACAAAGTTCAGTGGAATCAAAAATAAAAAAATAAAAAATAAAAAATAAAAAATTCCATACACAATAATTTGCACGACCGATATGTCATCTCATCATAACGGATTTATATGCCATCATAATCCGCCGTGAAAAGATTTTCACAACATTAAAAAAAATATATAATTCATGGATATTGTTTATTCGAATAAAATATAAAACCAATTAAAATTTTCCATAGTCCTTGTATAATAATAAAATAGTAGTAACTGGCATTTTTTTTCTTTTCATAAGTCATAGTAATATAGATTATAAATATAATCATTGTAACTTATATTATTTGATTAAAGAAAAAAAAACCGAGTAAAACGGATAAACGAATAAAACGAATTTTTAGTTCGAATAAGAATTTGTATTACGAATAGAAACCCTATTACTATATGGATACTAATGATGTCATGAAGTACAAGTAATTTAAATATACGGGATCAGAAATAGGGATTTATATTCAAATGAAGTTTATTCGAATCAAAACGAATGATTCGTAGTCAATTTGAGTATTCAAATCACATTGAATGGTCACATTTACCCAAAAAAATCATTTTTTGGAAAACTGCTATTTTTACTAACTGGTTCTATTCGAATAATTTAAGGCTTTATCCGAATTAATCAAATCATATTGAACGATTGTTCGAGTAAATTTTCATTTATCGAATGAAGATTATGAATATCTACAACTAGAATGAGTAATTCCGCCGATAGAAAACCTTTTCCGGCTAAGATCTTGGATCAAATAATTATCAAACAAACAAGAACTGCCCCAAGACCAGAATGTTTACTAAGAATTGACACATAAAAAATAATTACATTCCAAATAGCGTTCGTTGTGTTGTGAGCAATTATTTGTTTGAGTGGAGGAATAAGAACAGGCACGAATTTGATAACGTAAAAATAAATGTTGGTTTGATTCATG